AAAGATAACAATCAATTTCCCTACGTAACAGATTTTCTGATACTTTTTCTTTCTAATTCTAAAGAAATTACTGTGACCGCGTCTGATTTATCACGAAGACAGGCAGTCCCAAGCGTCTGTCACAAGTATTTGGGCCACTCTGACTCCCTTACATAGAATAAAAGTCGTAAAACTGTAATACCTCGACCACATATTAGACGCAGCGGATTAGGTTCGATTACAAAACTTGGCGATAATTTTCTTACTAAGGTTGCCTGGAAGAAATCGCCTGTTAGCAATTAGGCCGCCCGTTGCATCCCTAATAATTTAAGTTATTTATTTTTCTTCGATAAAAAAAAATCGTATGACTTCAAATAGTAGGCATATTAAAATGTCTGCCATTGTTTAAAAAAGTCCATTACATTTATACAGTGTATCTTGAATATTCATGGTTGATGAGAACGATCGCTCCACAATCCAGCCACCTCATATTATACGGCCTTAATGGGTTTCGGCCTTCAGCTCTTAATTCAAAGGGCCGGCACGACTTTTCACAGAAAGGCGTACAGTGATTCAATAGATTCACCTTATTGTACGCCTTTCGTGGGATTACCGGAGCTCACTCTACCCAATAAAATATGAGTATATATAAGTGTAGTTCAAAAAGAGACTACCCCAGATACCACTCGCATTTTTGAAACGTTCAACGTATCGAACGTTAACTTTAACGTAGTCAGGTTTTTGTGCTGGGGCAAACAAACCAAATGAAAACAGCGTACCATTTGTTAAAAGGCCAGCACTCGCGAGCTTTCCATTCATGGGTGGTGGGCGGTATCACATGACATCAGTGAGATTTCAGCGCGTTTTCCCCCTGTTCTATAAAGGAAAATGTACTAGTATCACCGTGAAACGGACGCTGCCAATCAGCACGCGTTCATATAGTTTCGTAACCTTTCTTCTTGTTCGTTTGAAGGCAATAACGATTAAATTTGTAAAATTAAATCAAATCCCTTTTGACATTATTTATGATTGATAATTCTACCCGCTTCCGCCCCGCTTAAGATAGGTGAGCGGTTAGTGAACTGAACCGAACCATAAAATTTTGTAACTGTGATACCTGTGTGCAGAATTTAAAACATTTTAAAGGGTTTTCTGAATATTAATGCGAGCTGAATTTATGATTTTTATTTATATTGATTTTAATGACGTTTGTTTTTCACAAACTCGCTTAAAGATTCTTATAAGATATTTAATTAAAAACTTGTTTGGCCGTTTGCTCCGTATTAAAGAAAAGTGGGATAACCGGTAAAAAATAATCATAAATTACAAAATTTCTCATAACATTATAAGTGCCCATCAATCTGTATTTCATAGATCGGTGTGACTATCTTAAGCCGGGTCCACATTTGTAGCATGTTGACGTATCACGATCAGTCGTATCGTGTCTAGTATTTGTATCATAAATATGGACGCTCATTTTGTCCATGTCGTATTTTTAAGGCGTATCTTGTAAAAAACGCGTCCATACTTATCAAATGCTGTATCATGTCAGTGTATCGGCTTTAACTTTACAAATATAGACGCTTCACTTTTCTTCCGATGTATCTTTTCCTGATGCGCGTGTCTTTCAGTGTACCTTTCCCTTCTCGTACGGTTCAGTCATATTGTCTTCGTTCCCAAACGGTTTAGCCATGTCAGCAATTGCTCACACTTTGGCGGTGACTAGCGCCTGTTATATTATTATCATTAATAGTATTTAAAAAAAAGTTAAATCCAGACATAGACGGCGCTGATGGGACCTTGAAGTGTTTAGAAACCGAAACAAACATGGTAGAATACCATTTCGAGAGCGAGATTTTTTAGCTCATTTTGCGAGTTTTAAAATTTCAGCATACCAGTGGAAAATACAAAAATTTCACTCGCATGTCACCCATTGATGTTGTGTATTCCCTTTGATGATCGCGAAAAAACCGACACAGGATGGTTCGCGGTGTATCAAGTATCGTATCGCGATACAGTATCGTGATACAGTATCAAAATACGTCCATACCACCGATCGTGATACGCGTATCTGATACGAGGTGTATAAAGATACGCGCTTAGTGCGGATCGGGCCGTATCAGATACGGCATGTATCATTAACGGGTATCATTTTGGGTCCAAACTAACGATCATGATACGCCCCGAAGCCACGCAACGGAGATACGATACACCGAAATGCTACAAATGTGGACCCAGCTTTAGATATATTTTTTCTTATTAAAAATGGCGCATTTTATAGTGAAGTTAATTTTAATAGCGAGGATTTTGACCTACCGTCAATATTTCTGCTTCTAAGCCAGCACAGATAATAACATTAGTCGGAGTCAACAAAGTGCGCCAAAAGCTATGCAAATAAAATCGTTGCGTTTGATTCATTGGCTTCCATAAATTACAATTGCCAATAAATTAAAGGACTTATCTATCATTGAAGAGCATTCGGATTTCGACAGACCAAAGCATCATGAAGTAGGAACTTTGCCAACTGTTCCATAGATCATAGACGCATTGATTTATTTACCTTGTTTTAGCGTTTCTTAAACGATTTTGAAAAGGTCTGTTTAGAATGCACTTTAAACAAAATATCTAAGCAATTGCAATAAAGAATAATAAAAGTAATTAAGTAAGTCTAATGTAGCATAATGCGTTTGATATATATAGAAGTTCTTATAGTTTCTATTGAACTTTGGTTGTTAAAAAAGCTCATTTAATGTTCTGACATAATTATAATAGAACGAAAGTAACATCTTTTGATATTTCTATTAATTGTGTTTTTTGCCGAACTGTGAGAAACCACGTTCCCAGTTTTCTTATAGCCCAAGGTATACATTTCTGCGCGTGCGTCAATTTTCTCGAACCAGTGTCATGTCAAAAAATTAGCGCCAATAAAATGCGATGCCGTCTTTAAAAACAATTTCGAACCATTAACACGAGCGAGTTTATATTTTATTGCAATTATTGAATTCACTCATATAATTGTAGTTATTTTTAATTATTTTATCTCAAACAAGGCCGCCGCATTTTAACTCCGTTTTAAAATTTCAGCAATCATTGTGTTGTTTTTCAAGTTGCATTAAGCCGGCTTGCTTTATACAAAAAGTAATGATTTCATCATTATATTGCGCGGCATATAACTCTTAGACCCAAAAATTACTAACATGTGAGCACAGTAAACCGAATACTCTTAAATGAAAATGTACGTAAGAAACAATAGTATTTGTATGTAAAAGATGACTTGTTATACAACGATTATAAACATTTATGAAAAATCTGATAGTACCAGCATTTTCGATGTTTTGACGTGCATAAGTTAATTTAATTTGATTCGTTGACCACAAGAATCACCTATATCCTTTTTACCCAAATGAATTACACTTCTGAAATTTAATTTTGTATTGCCAACACCATGTAGTATTCTTATCTATATAATTATTTTAGCTAAAGCCTCGTTCTCAGCAACCAATTTGTAAATTAAAAGAAGTGAATGACTTTATAAATATTAAGAAATCTTAACTAAGAGAGCCAGACACAATATTAATAAACATTAATAGAAAGCGATTTAAAAAAAGTAAATCCAGGATCATCCCGAGATAACAGAACTGTCGAGAAATTCAATTGTCTGTTAGGTAATGAGGTAACAAAGAAATCTGTGCATGTAATTACTTACAATGAATGACCAGAGGAATTGTACATTGTCTGAAAACTTTGTAAATTCCAACGTGTAAATATAGCTTCATTCGTCCACTTTCCATTTAACCATCTTGGAATTGATGTTTTCACAATCTGTTATTCACATCGCTTGTTTTAATACTTTTCTTAGTGAGATCTTAGTTGATCATTTTTCATGTTCTTTATTTATGTTTTTATTCAATATTCATTGAAATAAGTGTGATTTCTTCTTCTTATTAAACTCTAATGCCTGAAAATTATGTAATGGTTCCGAAATGACATTCAATATGCGAAGATAATATGTGATCGGGACTAGATTAAGAACTAAGTGTACCTATAACTTCTATACGATGACTTCTGTATGTGCAATACATTTTTGATACCGGTGTCATACTTAGACTCGACTTTGAATGTCACCCGTAATGTTAATGATAAAAACATTTTGATGAATTTTTGCCTAGATAGCAATTCGAAAGAATACATTTTTACTGAAATATAATATTAATTTAATTATGTTTTCTATAATATCAATATCTACTTTAGACCACAGATAATCAGTCTACCTTTTGTAAATATTTCCTTCCTAATTCTACGGATTTAGACCCCGACACATAATTGATCACATTTTCCCTAATATACATTTACATAAGCAGCATTTAGTTTACCATTGTATAATGAATTATTCATATTATATTAATACTACTGCAGAATAAATTTTAGAAGGGAAATGGGACTCAATGTCGAATTAATGAATGTACTAGTAATATGAAATAGCTAGCGTTCATTTCGAATACTGTTATTATAGCTTAAACGTGCGTAACGATGTCGTTCTGATTACAGTAATCAATAATAATTATTGTTGACTTTACTAGTGGAATAAAAACTATGTTTATACCACTTTTTGTTATGATTTTGATACAATTTTAAAGAATAAATGAAATGTTTAAATTTCAGCATTCATTAGAGACAGCAAACTTAATGTTTCTACATGGTTTATGAAACAATTATATTGACTGCCCCGAATCGCTTAAAATATTAAACTTAAATGTACCCGATTATAGAACTCGCCATACTGAGCTGTTTCATATTTAAAAATTGAAAAAAATATGCTTAAAGTAAGCTGAGGTAAACTGTTAAATACAATAAATAAAATAATTACAACTATAATTTTTATGGTTCCCGATAAAAATTTTTTAATTGTTTATAATTGTAAATAATATACATTTAATTTTGTTTCAGGAACAGTGCGATGACGTGATAACCTATAGCCACAGATCGAAGTTTAAAAATGTGTTCATCTAATATAAGTGACAATGACTCTTCGTCGGTGTGACAGCTTGCCCACGAGACTACGGGAGGCGCCTGTCCCAAGCCCTGACACTTGTCGACCCTTCGCTAATAAAATATCGGACTCGAACACCGTCCCAAATTTCAGAGGCCCGCTTGTGCGGGATGAAGTTATAGCCACTTGGAAATCCCTGCACACCGACATTAGAAAAATAAAAAATGGTCATCCAAAAATTGATACACCACCCGATAAAATTATCGAGTCATATCACAAATTTCCATACAAGAATAGGCTCCGTCGTAAAAAGATTACTTATGGCAATCACATTTCCATTGCGTGTCAAGACGCCGATCGCAGTTCATCATTCCCCTTGGACATGGGCCAGGGATGTCCAAACCGACGGCCTAGTACCGTACGAAGACGAACTCTACTGGAACGCATTCTCTCCTGGCGGACCCCCGAATGCGATTGCCAGGGACAGTGCGCACCGAAAACACGTCAATCATACCCTCGCTCAGACATTCAGTGCACGTGTAGTATCAGGAATCGGATCAAGGACAAACAGAGTTTCGCAGAACGCGGCCGCTCGAAAAGTGTCGGTTACGAAGTTACGCGTGAAGTTACCCAATTTCGTCGGTTAGTGCAGTGTTTTTATATGTAGTGGTGTTATTTGGTTGTTTTTTAATGAGTGTGGTGGTTTAGGTGCGCTAGTGCGGGTGCAACGGTGGGCGCTGAGACGGCGGCGGCCTTGAGGGCCAGAGCTGCTCTCACTCTCGCGAGACGGTACTACCCTGAAGGAGGCTGGGGTTGGACCGTTACGGTCGTTGGTACAATAGTGCAAATACTCGCACATGGTCTCCAACTTGGAGGCGGCACTGGGGCCATTGCCTGTACCGCTGCTGTAAAGTACCGTGTTGCACCAATTTACACTTATGGTGAGTGAATAATACATTCTATATATGTTCCGTAATGTATCACCACCAAATATAATTGACTAACGGAACATTAATTACCGAAAAACGTCGATATTGGCTTTTATAATTTGTTCGCAACTCGGAAGTTTCATAAATTACGGGCATTATTGCCATAACCCTTTATCATTGAAATCAACACAATAAACTGACACAAAATGTAAAGTTATATAAAGTTACAAACAATAAGGCCATGGCTCAAGCAATAATTCACAAATTCAAAGGCGCCGGATTATTGAACATTCATTCTTGATCCGGAACATTATTCCGCTACAGTGACTTAAGAAAAACTTATCAATGAGTTTATATAAAAGATATTATTAGCGGTTTTCATTTCGAGATCCAAGAATGAATAATTGGTCGCGGGTATTCTAATTTGCTTAAGAGATATTGTAACAATGTTGGTATGGTCAAATACCAAACAACGCTCATCTAGAAGCACGCTGGAGTTACACCCTTCGTTGTTAAATATTTATTAGATTAAGATCGTCGTTTCTTGTAAAAACAGCAAAGAAGTGGATTTCCTGGGCCCCTTCCATTTTCCCTAGACAGTTAAATATGGGTTAGTTTAAGCGGTGGTTAAATAGGCATCTCCTGGACAGGCGTGCACTCCAATAAGTCGCATCTCACTTAACATCAGGTCCTATTGTGGCCAAACGTCCAGTTCTGTAAATAAATGGTAATTATAAATAAGTATAACTCTTTATCTTTTATTTTTTGCCTTCTAAATATAAATCTTACGAAATTGTGTTCCGAACTTGATTGAAAGAGAAACCCGTAAATTTATGATGATGTATAACTGCCAGGATTAAGTTATGTCGACTGACCTTTTTGAGAATATCTCGTAAACAATCGGAATAATTTAATATTAATGAAGGAAGTAAAGTAATTTATAGAACCAGTGATGCCCACCGTCTAAGAAATTATGATATGAAGGATTAAAAACAAATACATTAAATAGTTTTGTTCGATATAAAATTTTAAATGTAACGCAAATGCTATGTGAGGAGGATACACGCTATGATCAAAAGGATTCTACGAATTGCATTAGATGTTCACCTACACATTATGGGAATCTGACAAAGATTCTGAGATCAAATGTAGGCTTTGTTTTATCACGTATTATTGTTAGGTATGCGGTTCTCATTCTTAAGGATAAACTCAACCGAAATTTTTATGATTTTTGGCGTAGGCATCTCGAATCAACCATCTAGACATGTGAATAATCGTAGCTAGCATAATACATAAATTAACCACGGAGATATAAAATAAAACCACCGTGGCATGCGTAAAATACATCGACGAGTGTATTGCAAAACAGATAATATTTTATCGACAGATTTTAAGCGCTCTATGAAAATGGATGACATGTCAAGCATTGTAATGTGCTTTGGACAGGTATTATTATATATCAGATATTTTTGTACAAGTTTTAATAACTAGAATAGAGAATAATAGCAGAAGTTTTAATAGAGAATACAAGCTTGTCTTCCTGGTAATCGTGGTTCGTCTAATTATTACCTTTTACATAGAAATGAAACTCAGCTTCTCATATTCGAACGCAATAAGGAAAGCACTTTATCTACTGAAGTACTAGTATATTGTATTGTTTAGATAAACTTTAGATTTACATAGTCGTGTGAAACTAGTATTAATTAAATACACAAAGCTTCGTTACTTGACAAACACTAAACAAAAAATAGAAAACCTATCATTTGGACTGCTTTTGGCTGAAATATGTGCAATTCCACTGATGAACTCAAACGGCGTTGGCAGTAAAAGTTTCTATAAATAGCTTAAACCTTGCCAAAAACAGTTTACATTAAGCCAGCTTACATTTTAAGGGTTAATAAACACGCTAAATAGATGCTTATTTTTATTAAACACTATTTCGGATTAAAGCTTGTGTATCTTGTTTTTTTTTTGTATTTGCAATTATTTAACTGTTTCGAGCCACAAGAGCCACAAGATATGTCGGAACTATGATAATTTTAAATTCAATATATATAATTGTCAGAGTTATGTGATGAATAATAACAAGTTAATAGAGAATATTAAGTATTTGTTAAGGAAATATACATTTTATTCACGTTTGTAAGTGTGAACATACAGGACAGTTTTGAGAGTGCGTAACAGTACCATTGAAGCGTAACAGTACCATTGAAGTTATACTGAAGGCATCAGGCATCTTCGTTTTCTTACAAGTTGACGGGTTAGCCTTCTTTAGAAGAACATAGTATATTCTACTTAATTGTAGGTAGGTAAGGACACTAAATCATGTTGGTCATATTATTGTTACATAATCAATTCCATAAATATTAAAACCAGGATAAAAGAAAACTAATACTTAAGGCGTATCTAAAAACAAAACTTACCTATTGCTTATTTATCTACCTACTTAAAGAAAACAACTTTCACAAAGATACATTATGAAATGATTGTTCATAAAATTAAATGTTTAACTTTTACATATTGTTCACGCTTTTAATTTTTAAACTTGTGTGCATATTTCTAAGAAAAAGAGTTAATTAGTCATTTAATTACAAGCTTATTTGAAAGTTGGGCGCCGTAATATGGGTTAAGGAAAATTAAAGAAATGAGTAAAGGCAATTGTTAAAATACAAACAATTAAGTAGTTTTCAACTATAATAATATCTGAAATAAAACTTAACTAAATCTTAACATTAACTTAAATGAATAAAGATAGGCGCCAGGGAGATTTCTGGACTATCCTACCAAACCTGTGATAAATTTCACCATATAAATAAGTTGTTTTCCTATTACCGTATAGATGGTACACCTTATTTGAAAGCGTTTCCCAAAGCCCAAAAAATTATATTAAAATTTAATATAATTTTACAAGAAAACAATTTATAATCAAGAGCGTCAATTAACGGCACACACCGCGGCGTCCGTACCTATCTTTTCTTACCTACCCTCAATCTATTATAAGCCTTGATTCAAAGACGCCCGGTGCGAACTAACTCTTCTATCTGTCATAATATAGTCTTGTTTCATGTTAAGCATGACACACTCAGCAATTTTGTTCTAAATTAAAAAAAAAACTTATGTTTTGGTCTAAAGATTTATGTTCACTTAATGCCGTATAAGCAGCACTTCCCTTAACAACCCCTGTCTGATATAGTACTAGCCATTCATGAAAGGTATTTCGGTAGAAATTGAATTTCTACGCAAAACAGACGAATGCCAAACACTTTAGCTTGATTGACGTCGACAAAATACGAGTATGTAATGTTTTTATCTGTTTGAATGTAAACTATATTTTTTCATGTTTTGCATATTTAATTTCATCTCTATTCATTCTTGAGTAACTATATATTGCTATATAGTTATAACTATGTATACAATATTGCCTTGTGATTAATTAATTCTCAAGCATTTAAATCAAGATTTTCCTTTCAACGTACAACACATGCTTTCACGGTGAAGGTATACCAGTATGTCTGAGATCCCAAACGGGCCATGTTTCAGGTACAAAGGCATCATGTCTTATAATTGAAAACGATTATGGAAACACATAACAAAAAATCAGTGGTGCTACAACCTCTTTATAGTACGGGAGGTAGCAACGTTTTCGAGAAAGAATTTCAGGTCAGCTGATTTTGTGATATGTCTTCCTTCTTGCACTTCCGGTTAGAGTCTGGGCAATCTGGCTGGCGGTAGCGGTTGCGTTCATTAGTGCGCATCCTATCTGTCCAGTTAATAATCCTGGATTTTAAAAGCATTTTAAGAAGCGTAATTTTTAATTTTTCGTTTTTAAATACGTCTACCTGACATACTTTTTTTATTGCCAGACATTTTTCACGTTGCTAACTATGTGCCAGACGCGATTTTAAGTTTTATTTTTATAAAAATTTCAAAGCATTTTAGAATGTCTGTAATTTTAATATTATGTTATTTAAATATAAGAAAAACTGAAAATGAATTTGCCAGACATTAATTCGATTGTTAAGCCTTGAATTAAAATGATAAAGTATTGCAGTATGATGAAGCATTGCATTTTAAGAAGCGTAATTTTTGATTTTTCCTTTTTAAATACGTCTACCTGACATACTTTTTTTATTGCCAGACATTTTTCACGTTGCTAACTATGTGCCAGACGCGATTATTAGTTTTATTTTTATAAAAATTTCAAAGCATTTTAGAATGTCTGTAATTTTAATATTATGTTATTTAAATATAAGAAAAACTGAAAATGAATTTGCCAGACATTAATTCGATTGTTAAGCCTTGAATTAAAATGATAAAGTATTGCAGTATGATGAAGCATTGCATTTTAAGAAGCGTAATTTTTGATTTTTCCTTTTTAAATACGTCTACCTGACATACTTTTTTTATTGCCAGACATTTTTCACGTTGCTAACTATGTGCCAGACGCGATTTTTAGTTTTATTTTTATAAAAATTTCAAAGCATTTTAGAATGTCTGTAATTTTAATATTATGTTATTTAAATATAAGAAAAACTGAAAATGAATTTGCCAGACATTAATTCGATTGTTAAGCCTTGAATTAAAATGATAAAGTATTGCAGTATGATGAAGCATTGCATTTTAAGAAGCGTAATTTTTGATTTTTCCTTTTTAAATACGTCTACCTGACATACTTTTTTTATTGCCAGAAATTTTTCACGTTGCTAACGATGTGCCAGACGCGATTTTTAGTTTTATTTTTATAAAAATTTCAAAGCATTTTAGAATGTCTGTAATTTTAATATTATGTTATTTAAATATAAGAAAAACTGAAAATGAATTGGCCAGACATTAATTCGGTTGTTAAGTCTTGAATTAAAATGATAAAGTATTGCAGTATGATGAAGCATTGCATTTTAAGAAGCGTAATTTTTGATTTTTCCTTTTTAAATACGTCTACCTGACATACTTTTTTTATTGCCAGACATTTTTCACGTTGCTAACTATGTGCCAGACGCGATTTTTAGTTTTATTTTTATAA